TCAGATTTCCTTTTACAAGGCAAAGCTCTGTGTACTGAGGTTTGGTGTCACGATTGCTGCAAGTCATAAGGTGCTCAGGACTCCTCACAATGAGATAATCCTCTGACCTTCAGAGCATACTTATAATTCAGAGACTTGGTATAAAGGTACTGCCAGACTATAGCTCAATCAAAAGTACAAAATACTTTTACAAAAACTGTTTTACCCACATGCGATAACACAGCGAATGAATATCTGGACAGATGTTTGATTTGTTAGTTGAACTACAATTCTTTGGTGCTTATCATCCACCGTGCCTTACATTTTGGGGGACACAAAAGGGAAGTTTCCCTGTATTTAAGTTTGGGTGCCAGCTCAGCACCTCTGAGCCCAGTGAGGTCTTTCTGCACAATCATCTGAGCTGCCTGCCAGCATAAGATCTTACAACTTTAACGCCGTATAATGACAGTAAATGTCTTCTATTCCTGTATTAATTGTAGGCAGTCATAATTGTCCAGAAGGGACCAATATTATCAGACCTATTACGTACTCCTTAATGCAATGGAACTCTAAGTAGGTGGCTTTTAAATGAAACAGTCCTATATAGCCATTTTCCTAAAAACTTGGACCCAAAAGGTTATTCAATCAAAACCCAAATACCTGTGACCAAGTATCATTCCCTTTCAATAAAAAGCCCTACATTTTCATAATGGTCTACAATAGCTGTCCCCAAATTACAGGAAAAATATTTTTTCGAAGTTTTCCATTATTCGGGGGAAAATTGCAAAGCTTGTGGCTCTTCCTAGGCCATATTTCTCCCTCAATGTCTATTTTCCAGTTATTTCAGCTTTCATCAGCAGTTTCATCAGAGCCCATTGGGGGAAATCACAAGATCTGGGGAATGGATTAAAGAACTACAGAGGGCTGGAGCTCACCTATCCCACATCTTCCTCTCACAGATAAAGAAACCAAGGGACAGAACGGTTTGAGTGACTTCCCCAACATCACACAGTGGCTTCCTGAGAGAGCTGGGACTGGGAGCCAGGTTTCCTGCTCCCGCCGGGCACGCGTTCTACCGCGCCGTGTTGCTCACTCCTAGACACGAAGGAAAAGCACCCCGGCAATGATTACGGACAGAGATGTGCCAACTAACAACGACGCCTCATGCACACACTCGGTGTTTTTTCTGCACATCTTTTTCCTTGCGGGCAATCCCATCCACTCCCATCCTTGTCTCTACTACCTGTGCGATCAGGGACTTAAGTGGTATCGCCAGCCCTGACCTCTTCTGTGTGCACCACTGTCTGTCCCGTGGTTCTACCTGTGTATTCACAGGCGACTCCAACACTCTTCCCAAAACTGAGCTTATTTTTTATTTCTGCCAAATCTGTTATTTCTATGCATTTCCTATTTTGTTTTTTGGCTGGATAATCACCTATTCGTCTAAGTCCTCACCATTCTTCTCCCTTTCACGTCCTGTTGATTACCCATTTCTGTTGATGTTACCTAGAAATTTTGCACATACTATCTCATTTCTTCATCTCTACTTGCATGTGTCTTTGTAACTTTTCACCTGAACTCTCTGCATTTATCTCTTTCCTTTCCAGGCTATTCTCCACAATACCCTCAAAGTCACTTTTCCAAAGAGTAAATATTCTGTCACTATGCTCTTACCTGAAACTCTGACTATCCTCCTCATGTCCATTAAATAAATAACTATTTTACCATATAGTATAATTATTTAAGATACTTCATATGATCTGTCCTCTGTTTGCCTAACTTTTACCCCACTAGAGCTTTCCAATGTTAGATTCTAGAAACACAAATATCCTTGCAGTTCTTTGAACTCCTTATTTTATGCCTCCATGCCCTTGCATTATTTTATGCTGCTCCTTTTGTCTAAAATACTATCCTCTGCTCACCTTTCCCACTTCTGAGCCTGCTGTCTGACTGTCGTTCTCATAGTCATCCTTGAAGACTCAGTTCTGCCTGTGAGATTAACCCTTCAGTGAAGCTGATAGGCAGAGTTTATTTTTTGATTCTTACACTGCATATACTTCCATTACTATATATGGCATCATAGTATAATTCCTCATTTAGGTGTCACTGTGGTCTTTATCTCGCCTCAAGTCCTAGCAGTGCCTGAAAGAAGCAGCACGATGAATAAATGGGCATATGTAACAGCGAGCTGCAGAAGCATTTTGCGGTCAGCTGTAACCTGGTATATTTAGAACATCTGACAATAATACTATCTGGTCAGTGCTGCTTAGACTGGACTCATTGCTTAAGCTATAAAATTGAAATATTTTGAATATTTATAGCATTTTAATAACTATAATTTAGAATGATTATGATTCATATCCACCTTACCCTTTCATTGACACATGAGTTTGTGTCCTCACTATGAAATCATCGCACATAATTATCTCCAGATGACAAATAGTCATTTCAGCATAGCATGCAGATATGGAAAAGACATTTTATCTCTTTTTCAGTAGGGTATTTACCAGAGTGTTTCATGTATTTTTAGTAGCATTTGCATCTTTACCAACCTTTAGTCAAATAAATTATATGACACATTTATTAAGATGCTCTGGACTTCCGTGTTTTAAGAAGACATGTGAATGAAGTGATTATACATGTACACATAGAGCAGATATGCGGGTTAAGTATGGTGTTTACTAAGTTAAATGGGGTCACTTAGCTAATGGCAACACTAGCCTAGGGATTGGTGCTTCATTTCAGGACTTCTCATACACGTCTACCACAGAGATGACTGCCTTTGTACCCCTGGGGAACCTAGATGCTTACCTCCTACAAAGGTAAAATATATTTGAATTTGCTCGTTGTACCTCAGTTTTGCATTTTACCCCATTTTATATGGTCTTAAATAACTTAACTTTTAATGAGACCTTTATAAAACTCTAGAAGTCTGTGCTATGAGTAAGCCAGAGTTTCTAGCACTTCCCTTCTGTCTGTCACATATGCCAGGGATTCTGAGCTGCCGAGTTTGATGAGAAAGGGGGTAGGAGAGAGAGCACTGAGCCCCGTCATAAAAGACTTGCATCCAAAGATGGGTGTGCCACTTACTAGCTTTTGATCTTAAGCAAATCATCTGTCTTTTCAGAGTTTCATTTTCCTCACCTTAATAAGAATAATAACATCTGCCTTACCTCTTGAGAGGATTATTTTAAAAACTGAATGAAAATTGCTCAGAGATCTGAAAACTCGAGCTTGGAAAATGAGCAGGAACAAAGGGAGTTCGCACAGCCAGAGTCACATCTAATTATCATCATATTGACCCCTTGTAACAAAGACACTGTTCCCTCCACCAGGGCCCTTACCTTTGGCCACCATCACTGCTGGCCCTTAAACCAGCACTGCCAGAATGAATTGTTGCCCAAGTCCTACCTCCAGCTGCAAGGAAGGCTAGAAATGCATGCCTTCAGCTTTTTGGTTTTTGATGGTAGGAGAGATTGGCCTATGAGACACATCCTTGGCGAACAGAATGGAAACTCCCTCAGAGATGAGAGGAGATTAAGATGCTGGGCCTACAACACCTCTTTCTTGACTACTGTCACAGTCTCTTGACTGGTGTCGCTGCCTTCCGCTTTGTTCCGCTCCAACCCACTGACACTGCTGGCACCAGAGTTCCTTTTTCAAAGGAACATCTAATTTCTGCCACTGCTCTGTTTCCAGCCTTCAGTGATCCCCTCCCCTCAGTACCTATATAAATGCAAATGCATTAGAATACACTGCAGACATTTCTAATCAGGTCCTCATCCGCCCCCACCGCCAGACTCTTCTGGGCATCCCATCCTCCACTGAACCCTGCTGCCTGCTCGCAATACTTTTTTTCCCAGTGAGTCATGCTGTTTAATGCCTCTTGGTCTTCCCTTTTATAGAAAGAGGAACTGGAAGGAACTAAAACACAAAAGATTAACATACTAACATCTTCCCTTAAAAAAGACCAGTGTTGTGGGATCTTCCAGACAGGGAGGGGATGAAGGCAGGGCCCTTCCTAGGTTCAGGCTGAGGCTGCAAAACCGAAGGCAGAGAACCCTGATGGAACACTGCTGTTGATGGAGACACTGCCTGCCTGTGGTCAGTGGAGAGGACCGCTGAGCCTGCCCCTACCACAGCACCAGAGTGACAGAGGACAGGGACCCAAGACAAAGAACAGTAAGTAGTCCAGACACAAATTCACACCTCTACCCCATCTTTCTGGCTGACATGATCCTGGGATGCTTGTTTTGAACCACAGAGGAGGGGGTTTCCAAAAGTCACTCAAATGAGAACAATGGAATATTTTGCCTGATTACCAATGTGCTCTCACACCCAGTTGTACTTAATGTAGAAGAGGACTGTATACCTGGGGACCAGGAGTCCATGAGACCCATGACCGTGCACACGCCTGTTGTCCCCGCACTTGTAGAAGTAACATTCCTTTTGTTGACTGACAAGTCAGCTGACTATGCGGATACAGAAAGTTGTGAAAGGAGTCAGAGTAAACTGTTAAAATCAGTTCCCTCTGGCCAAGGAGGATGGGGGGTGTGCAGGGGACTTCTCACTTCATGCTCTTCAGTACTACTTGACTTTTTCACAGAACTGGTGTATTGTTTTTATAATTGGATTTTTAAAAGCCAACTCAAAAGTGAAAGAAATCATGGAGACTCCTTTGTTGTTTTGTTTTTGGCATTTCTTAAAAAAAAAAAAAAGTCCCAGAATGTTTTGTAAGGAAAGCACAAAAACCACCTGGGAAATGAAGAATAAAAATTCCTTAAGTGGTTTCAAAGAAAAGTTATAATGTTAAACATTATCCAGAGCTGTTTCCACAGAATATTGCTGAATAATGAATGTTGGACATTATTAACTAAAACGTATGCATCAACACAGCAAAGGATAAAATAAATACATGAATAAAGATGGTGTTGCTGTCCTTTGCATATGCAAACACCGCTGTTCGGGACCATCGGTGGGCCATTAACCTTCCCATGTTTTTCTTACTTTGGCCCCTTGGGCGTCTCCCTGACGGGACAACATCCAGGCTCCCTAATAGGTAACCCAGGTTACCTGTTACTTTTCCTGTCCTGTGCACACTGGATTTGATACCACACTCTTCTTTTCAAATGTGCATCCACCATATTTTCGCAATGGATTTTCATTACAACTCTTGAGAATAGACAGTTATTACCTCTTTGCTGATGACAAAAGCTCTTGCAGTTTTGACAGAGCTGGGATGAGGCTCCTAGTCTGCTGACTAGGAATGAAGTTTTCTCTCTTTCCACCAAGCTGCCTCGTCTGCACCCCCAAACTGCCATCCATGCACGCCGTCTTCTGTTAAGTGTTGTTCTAACGACACTGTAGACGTCCGACTCATTCTCCTCTAGTGCTGTTTCTCGGTACCCTATTCTTTTCTTCCACAAGATGAAAAATTGAATATAGACATTCAAATAGAATGTGTGTGAGTGTGTGTGTGTGTGTGTGTGTGTGTGTGTGTGTGTGGTGTTTTATTTCCCCAGCCAGGGTATAAGCTCTGTGAAGGCAAGGACCATGTACCCCTACCCCAGACCCATTTCGTGCCTGGCATACAGGAGGAACGCAATAAATGTTTGTTGAATGAATGAATGACTGGGTGTCAGCTACAGGATTAGGTAGAACCCTTTCAGTTGCAAATCCCGCATTTAAACTGGCTTGAACAGAGAAGAAATCTGCTGACTCAAGTGTCTAGGAAGTTCAGGAATCAGCTGGCTTCAATTGTAGCTCCCTGAGGTTAGGTTAAATTTCTTTTCTTCTTTCTCCGCCTTCTCCTCTTCCTCTTCTTTCCCCTCTCCCATCTTCCTATTCTCTCTCTCCTTCCCCTTCTCCTCTGGCTCCTCTGTCTCTGTCACACTCTCCCTCCTCAGCTGGGCATCCTCCACCTCCTCTGTGCGTGGTGAGGATGGCAGCTGGTAGCTGTAGGATCACCGGCCTAATCTGGCCTCCCAGGAGAAAGAAAGTACGTCTACCTCAACATCATATCTTAATTACAGGAAAAGAAAACGTTAAGATTGACCAGACCTGTGCCTTACGTGCAAATGGGGTACAGTGATCGGCAGCCCCTCTAAAACTGTGTGGAAGGGGGCGTGGTTTTCCCAGAGGGAGGGATGCTGGGCAGATGAAAACTAATGTTGGCTGTGTACTTTCGTAGGAAATTTTACCAAGAAGTAAAGGAGAGGCTGCTTTTACTACCAAGAGACTTCCAGCCTCTCAGAACTGAACTCTCCAGTTGGGGCTCAGTCATGACTTTGAACTATTTGACTTCGATCATAATTTTTTAAAAGATGGACTGAATTTTATGCTTCAAATCCCAAGGTGTTAGTAAGTCAAGCACAGTCGTAAGACAAGCTCACCCACAGCCTTCATATCTAATCTGTTCAGCAAAGCGAGGCTGCAAAACAAGTTTTTATTGTTGTTGTTCACTTTGGCTTCCAGCCAAATAGGAACTTTAGAAATTTGTTTGTGGATAAATTTTGTTTCGGTGTCTGGGAGGAAACATGCTGCTTGGTGGTGGCCACAGGACGCAGATTCCCCATTCCAGGGAGGAAGACCTGCAGGCGACACGCTCGATTCTCTCCCCACATGGAAAAGCGCGGGCAGCTCATCTTCCATGTGACTGTTCAGGCACTGAGAGCGCTGAAGCTCCCGTAGCCTGGTCTTACAGGGAGGAGGGGGTTTTCAGTTTTGAGCATTTGTTGGTTTGTGCAGGCCCCTGTGTTTGAAAGCTGTCTTCTGGGAAAGAATTAATGATCAGAATTTTAAAAAAAAACTTTCCTTATCAGTTTCTACCTTTTGGTACTTTGATTTTATACCCTTTCCACGCTGGCACGAGCTGCCTGAGAATGCAACCATTTTATAAATGAATAAGAATGAGTAACAAGTCCCTATTCTGATGTCCAGAAACATAGGATCAGAGACTTAAAAGTGGTTTATAACACAGAAAGCTCTAAACTAGTTCTTATTTATCACAGCTCTTTTATAAACTGGGTCTTAAGGAGAAGGATTAGTGAACGGTTCGGCTTTTTAAAGTTATAAATATATATAATTAATAAGAAAAACACTGAAGGAAATGAAAACAACCTCACATCCTGTACTTCCTGACATCCTCTTTTTGATTTTGTGAAGTTTCCTGTCATCACTTTTCAGTATATTTATTTTTAAGGAAGTTCCCTTAGCAAGAAGATTGAGAACAGCACCCCGTCCCTCTTGAGACACACACACACACACACACACACACAGCTCAGAGAGTTAGAAATTTGTATTGCTGTATTCGTCCACAATTTAAGCATCATGGCCACGACATACATCCTTCGGGGTAGCCATGGGCGATTGGGGAGCAGTGGTGAGAATCCCCAACACTAAAGAGAGAGCAAGAAGTACCATACCCTAGGTGTCTGCGTTTCTCCCAGTGAAGGAGCTATGAAACAAACACTTAATGGTTATTAGCTATTATTGTTAATAATACCATTTCTTGAACTTTTGCTAGGTATATCACTGTGCTTAGTGCTTTACACACACACACACACACACACACACACACCCCTGCATACTACAAATTTGTCTGTGTCCATGATTCTTAATAACAGAGTTTATACTATGGCTGTATTTTTGGTGGTCACCATCCATTAGTGAATCATGAAATTAATTTAATGGGTAGAGATAAACTCAATCTTATAATATCCTTGTGAAGCGAGTTATAGTATCCCCAGTTTACAGATGAGAAACCCCAGACCTTAGGAGGTTAAGTAACTCACCCAAGTGCACAGTTAGTAAGAAGTAAGCATGCATTTGGAGCCTTTCTGTCTCCAAAACCTTGTCTTAACTACTAAGGCTATGTTACATCAGTTAGCAGTTCTGGCTGTATCACATTACAAACATGACTATGTAGAGAAGAATACCTAGCTCCTAATGTGCTCTAGAAAGGAGAGCTTAAGGCTTGTGCATCATTAACCAGCTTGCATCGTGTTGAGTATAGGCCTGACTATCAAGTGTGTGTCTGCGCGTGTGTCTGCGTGTTTAATTAGAGTTATGGAAAAAATTTTATAGGACTCAGTATCATTAATAGAAATGTCAAAACTCTTGAGTGATTTCTTAAGCAAAGAGTTTTTTACTTTTAAAAATTCACAATCTTATATTTACATGGTACTTCACAACTTACAAACAGGGCTTTCCTGGATGCAATGTGACCCTCAAGCATTCTATAGTCTCTATGCATGCGGGGTTTGGATGGCACAGGCTCTAAGAGTGGTTATAGCTGATAACGCCTAGTTATCAGCAGGAAAGACAGCACATCTTGGCCACAAACCAATAGTATAAAAATGATGCTTACAGATAATTTGCCATTATCAAATCCCAAGCTCTTAAAGAGGTAGAAAAGCCACCAAATGAATGATCAAACAGATGTATTTAATAGGTCCTAAAATGTTAAACATAAAAATGCAATCTATACATTGACTCTGGAATGCCAACAGCTTTTGAAGAAAACACCTCTACATTTCAGAAATAACTGTGATGGTGTTTGTTAAATATATGTATCTCAGAAAGAGCTCCCCCAATTACTAGGATCACATCAGTTGTCAGCATTTGTACACTGTCTCACTCTTTGCTTTTTTAGGAAAAAAAAAAGTTACAGATACTCACACAACCGTATCCCTTCCAGTTTGTGCTGCCATTTTATTCAAGTTTCAGTAAGACCTTAACTACCCTCAAAACCTTCCTTGTGAGTTGGTCATAATGCCCATCAATTTCTGCTGCAGGTTAAGGCAATGTGGGTGGTCACAACCCACTCATGAAATCAATTTAGTGAGTACAGACAAGCAATTTTTAAAAAATGAAACAAAACAGACTAGAAAATGTCAGAATGCATTACAGATAGTAAAAGTAAGCATGTTTTGTGAAACTTTTATTTGTGTTTTCTGTGTGTATTATGTGCTTACAGAGTGTTGATACTTAACGTGGGTTGCAGTCAAAATAAGATTTGAAAGCCACTGAATTAAGGCATTACCTTCAAAAGATATTTCAATGAAAATATAGTTTGGGGGTGGTTGGCTCAGAATGCACAGACATGTTGCTATGTGTAGTGGAGGCTGGAGGAAACTACTGAGAGGTGAGGGGAGTTGACAGCCAAAGCACAAGGAGGAAAA